CCAACCCAACGCCCACCCCCACACCCACACCCACACCCCCACCCCCACCCCGACCACCCACCCCAACCAAAAAAAAAAGAAAAAACCCCAACAAGCCACCCCACCACTCCCACCCCACCCCACCCCACCCACCCCACACACCAGCAACACCCACCCCACAACACCCACAAACACCCAAAAACACAGCACAAAACACCCCACACCCAACCCCACCCCAACACCACCCCACACCCACCCCACCCCACCCACACGCCACCCAACCCTCACAACAACGAACCCAACCACCCCACCCAAACCCCACCCCAACCCGCGCACCCCACCCCACACCACGCCACCCCACCCCACCCCACCCCACCCCACCCCACCCCCACCCCACCCACCCCACCCACCCCACCCACCCCACCCACCCACCTCCACCCAACCCCCCACCCACCCCAGCACACCCCTACCCCACCACTCCCACCCGACCCACCACACCCCCACCCCACCCCACCCCACCCCACCCCACCCCACCCCACCCCACCCCACCCCACCCCACCCCACCCCACCCACCCACCCACCCATAGCGCAGTAGCTGTGTACAAAGCTCACGGCATCGCAGACCTGCGAGAAGCACTCCAGGATCGCCGGCTCCTCGAACAGATCCCCGCTCTTGGCACGCTCCTCGAGTGCAGTGGGGCCATGCGTCCGCACTGACGCTTGTAACTCGCCAAGATTAACCCCATATTGATCAACCCCGGTTTATTATTGGGGGGGTGTTCCCCTCCAAAAGTGATGAATCCCCACTAAACCCAGGGTACCCCATATTAATGAACTGGGCTGGTTCATATGGGGTCAACCGAAGCAAGGACCGAGGTCCGGGACCTTCATGGAGCGCGTTTTACGAGGTGAGCTTTCTATGATTTGCCAAACATCGTGCCCAGGGGCGCCGCTGATGCGCGAGCCGCGCGTCAAGCAAGGCGGAAACGTGGATTGGTCGATTCAGTTCAAGTATTGAACCAGCACAAGCAAGAGTCTGCAACACAAGCATACGTCTACATACTGTAAGCCTTCCTTGCTTCCCTCGACCTTGGCACAAGGAAAGAAAACATCAGTGGAAGCTTCGCAAACAGCCTTGCAACACACACCCTCACCATGCTCGCGGACACGCTTTCCGAAAGAGATTGGCGCAATCAGCATGCCCTACAGAAATGAACAGCATGCCATTGATCACAGGCTCATCCCTGGACAGTCAAGCCGTGAATCACGCGTGGAAAAGGCTCTAGATCCCACCTTTGGATAAAGCGGACTGCTCCCGCAGCTAACCCGCCTCGCCTTGATAGCGGCGCAGAGGTCGCCCCCATCAGCAAAGTCCATGACGAGACACAGCCAGCCAGAACGGACAAAGACCTCCCGAGAGAACACACCCACCGGATCGAGGGCGGAGCATAAAGCCAACAGCAAATGTCCTAGGGCAGCCCTTGGTGTGCTCAAAACCCTGTAGGTTCCCCGGACATCGGCACACACGGCAAATTCACTACCATTGGAACCTGAAAAAAACCAGAAAAAATAAACTCTATGATGGGTTCCATGTTTTTGCTTTTGGAGAGCCTGGGTTTGTTTCAGTTCGAGCTGATACCCTTGTGCCTGAAGGCTCCGATGTCAGAAGCACGGGGCCAAGGCCCCGATGGATAGCAAAGTCAAGCCTGACGGGCAAACCAACCTTTGCGCCTGCAACGCAAGACGAACTCAACTAAGCTGAGCTAAACTAAACTAAACCACAACCCACGGCTTCAAAAAGAGGGACTCCTCCTCCCAACTTGTCTCCTTAAAAAAAAAGAGGAAAGTGTTATTCGGTTACCTAGAAATGAGATTTACCCCGGAATTGAATACCACCTCCCAACAACACCGGGGTTCCCCCCCAAGTTTGCTGGTTGGATTTCCGCCCCCCCCCCCCGCCCCAACCAACGCGTACGCGAACCCGTCGCCTCCCGGAAGCGCACCACGTTGGGGTGCTGCACCCTCCGCAGCGCCACCGCCTCCCGCACCGCGGTGTTCCGCGCCTCGCGCGCTGCGCTGAGCGAAGCGCAGCTCAAGCGCCGGGAGCTTTGTGGAAAAACAAATGGCTGCGGCTCAAAAAACCGGAATTCCAAAATGGAACCTGGGTAAGTGGAAACATGGACCAAAACCTGCGTAAGGTTAATTTTGAGCCACACCCAAATGGGAGAGGGGGGGGGGGGAGTCCGCGGGCGGAGCTCTTCTTTTGTCCCAAGGGCGGTTTCCTTAATGGAAACTGCTCCAAGGGTAGTTTCCCATTGGAACATGTTCTGGAAGACGTTCCAACCAACACCAGGAGCCGATTTGCCCGCGTCCCCTCGCCCATTATTCTCCAGTACTTTTGCGTGTCCTCTTTGGGGACAACCACTTGGGTGAAGCTTTGCCTCAAGAGCATCCAACCGGGTATGAGGCATCAATCAAAATGGTGCTTTCCGGACCCAACAAAAATGGTGCTTTCCTTTTGGTTTCCCTTGGAACCATGCGGAAAAAGGTACAACACAACGGGAACAAAAAAAACTCAGAAAGTGCCACCGCCTCAAGCGCAAAGAACATGATGTGATGAGGTACAAAACAAGTGGAACCAAGTGGCACAAACACCTGGAAAGACCATGTGAGTGAAGGTTTGTCTGGACCTTGGCGGGGCTTTCGGGGGTGTAGGACACCAAGCAGGTGCACATTTACCAGCACAGGCAAGATGTGGCGATCAGCGCCTGGGACTTTTCCAGCGACGGATTCACTGTTAAATGGGGCATCGGGGCATCCCCCATTCAGCAGATCAATCCTGGGCAAAAACCGTCGGTTGAGTCTGGCGAGCCCCAGAGCCTTGACATCCATCTTCTCCACGTGCACCTGAGGCTGGCACTTCGTCAGTCAAGCGCGACCGGAGGCTCCGACCCAATGCCGCATACCTTTCCCCCCTGGCTTCCCCTCAAAAACCACACACACCCTCTCCTTGCAAACAGTTTTAAAATGGACCCCGGGCGTCACTTCGCACATCCAGCCCCCCCCCCCCAACATCCCCCAAACCGAACCCCAGCCAGCCCAGGAAGGCTCGACTCGCTCGACTCGCCGCCTGCTTCATGACCACCAGCTCCCCGTTCTGCAGGTCCCGCGCCAGGAAGGCCTTGCCGAAGGAGCCTTGGCCCAGCAGCCGCAGGCGCCGGTACGAGAGCTTCTCGTCCTGGGGTTGAGCCGGGGGGGGCGGGGGCGTTTTGGGCGTTTTGGGGGTCGCCCCGGCTCCCCAGCAAGGTTAACATGCAAACCCCCCCACCCCCCCCAAAAAAAAAAAAGAGAAAAAAGACTCACACTCACAACATGTTCCAAGAAAACTCCGAAGAGCTATGCGGGTTTCAGGGACAGTAGTCAGGGCGTTGCCTACCTTCAGGTCAACCTTCGCTAGGAAGAAACAACGATCTAGCTGCTTAACAGTGCTTCTCAACCACTCTTTCCAGGGATCCTTTGTGCTTGGAGAATTTGAAGAAGTGAACGGTCAGTTTTACCCAAGATGTAAGCTAGCCAGGGTTACTAGCTGATTACCTGTGTCGAGCGGGGAGAAAGAAGTCCATGTTGAATATCTCCCTTGGAGGAAGCTTAAACAACTTCTGGCCACACATGTCAAGCAAGGCTTCGGTGGTCCTGTGGGGGTTCAGCCGAAGAATCAAAAACACCAACAACAATCCCTTCCCCTTAAGGGCTAGGGAGTGCGGAGACCCCAGTTCCGTCTATCCGGCCTTCCCGCGATCCAAATTAACCAGCGACAGACCATAGCAACAGACCATGCCCTCAAAGTCTCAGCGCCACTTTTTGCAACAGCACTTCAACACCACCAAGACACATTCCACCGGACCACCGAAACACCAAACGCTGTCCTTCCGGCGCACCGAAACACGACACGCAGACCACACCAGCAGAACAAACCACCCGAATGGCCAGCGTGCGCCCTATTTCCCAGATGGCACGCTCTTGTCCCACCGCCACAAGAATAAAGAAAACCGGCTCTAGCACCCGGCCCTCAATCTTGCAAATAACTGTCTCTTCTTAATTAGAAGTTAGAACCCCTATAGTTTTCAGCTATCTGGGGAGGAAGAAAAAAAAGCCGCGCCTTGCACGAGGGCATGGCCTCCACCAGCCCCTGGGCATCCCCCCAGCTCACCTCCTCGCAGTTCGCCATCGCGCGCTCGCGCCCGCGCCCGCGCCCGGGCGCGTGGGGCTGCGGGGATGGCGCCCCGCGCCACGCGCAACCGCGGGGATCTCGTTTCTGAAAAAACGATTCGAGGGGAAGAAAATGCAAGGCCCAGGCCCAGGTCTTTGAAGAAAAACAACCAACACCTTTTCAGTTTCAAGCAAATGGGCTAGCGAGGGAGTGGCATGACCAAACTTGCGTAGATTGTTGGATTCCTGGGTCTAGGACGTTCCAGAAACGGCTGAACAACAAAAGCATTCACGCTACTTGTCATATTGCCAGCTTGCCATTGCCATTGCTGAGGCATCTTGCGTATGTGCGTCGAACTGGTCATGGGGGTTTTGATCTAGTGTTTCCCACCGGAGTTGGGAGCAATCTCCTGACTTACCACCTAAGAATGGTTGGCATCTCCCTTCTTGCCTTTCGATGAATTCCCCTTGCGAGCCAGCTGCAAGCACGCAATACTGCGGGCTTGCTCAATGATGCCAAGCCAAGGTCCCGTAGCCGCCCAAGGAAGCAAAACCACCAACGGGAAAATCTTTACGACCCAAATCAAATGTTTACAAGCACCGGGCGCAGCACTGGACGTGGCATGATGCAAGCCCAAATCCTCCCAACAAAGGAAGTGCACAAGCTCCCCATTTTTAAAAGGGAAAAATGTATTTCAAAGTGGCTTGGGCGGATGTTTGTTTGCTTCTTCAATGAATGTCCCAAGCTTACTTCTCGTTGCCGCCCCTGACGCTTTGGATCCTGAGGCAGTCAGCCGCACTGGGCATTGCACGCTGCTCTTTTCCAGGACCTCCCGCACCTCGCATCCAGGAGGAGAAACATCGTAGGCGATGGCTGTGAAAAGGGTATGATGTTGGCAAGGCTGCCAACAGTTCATTGACGGGAAGTTTGCAGCAATCCATGATGAAACTTTTTGCAAAATGTTTAGGCACGATCGACTTCCAAAAGTTGAAACCCAAAGGACACGCCAACAAGACCAAAAAAGGGTGCGTCTATGGTTGGTTTCCAAGAGAAGCCAAAAGGATTCCAACCCTTTTGGCAAGTCCGCTACTTTTGACAGAGAGAAAGAGAGAGTGAGACAAAGAGAGAGAGAGGGAGGGTGCAGTGGTGCTTCCCCCAAGCCTTCTCCTCAGAGAAGCCCATGCTGGTGAGGGAGTTGACCTTAGGCACTTGGCTGGGCCCCGCAAAACCCAAGCCTAAAACAGGTAAAGCATGATTCAGGAAAGGCGAGCGGGCCCATCCCTGCTCTGTCTGGCATGCCCGCACGGGCCCCCGCGATACTTTCGCACCTGGCAGGCGCAAGAGCAGACGCAAAAGGCCGTTTCGTGCTACACAGAACCTCTCTCTCTCGCTCTGGCATTTCATATGGAAAGCATTCCCATGCACTGAGCCAACATCCTTGGGGCGAAGTACCTCATTGGCTGGCTAGAGGCACCTACTGGGACAAAGCCCCGGTGACATTGTCAATGTTGGCTCCAGGCAGGGCTCCCGAAACAATTCAGAACCTCGCAAATTGAAGTGAACATGGGGGGTGGCGTTCAAACAATAGACGATGGCAAAGCAACTCCTCACCAGGCCAGCAAGGTTGGCCGAAATCGATTGAAAACAACCCAAAGAGAGCACCCTCAAAAAAACACACCCACATGCCAAACAATGGCCCATGAATTTGTCCGCCCTGGCCCGAATGTGGCAATTGCACGCCTCACATCCTTGGCGGCGCGGTCGCGCATCCGCCGGCGCACCTGGCTGCGAAAAAGAACAGCCGCTCAGAGTGTGGTTCGTAGGTTTTTGGTGGGCTGTTGTTGGGTCCTTTGGCTGAACTGTTGCTGAGTCTTTGGTTGTCTTTGTTCGTCTGTTGGTGGGTGGTGGGTGGCTTTGGGTGACCTTTTGAGGGACTTGTTGTGCGAGTTTGGGGAGTTTTGGGCAAAAAGCTTTGGGTGTGGTTGAAGAAAGCCCTGCACCGGCTACGTGAAGTCAAGAAGTCGGATACACACCGCCCGGTGTCAGATGTAGATCACTCGCAAACAAAATGCAATCAAATGCTCGCCACCTGCTTGCACCTTGTCATGTCAGCATGAGCCGGAACAACACGCAGCTCCTTGGAAAGGCGTCCGTGCATTGGAACTCCTGCGCGCGCCGCCGTTTTGAGCGACCGTCCACACACGCAGTCGGTGCCCAGTGGGCGCCTGCGTCTGCAGGTTCACACGCTCGGCCTCGCCCTTCCTGGCGCGAATGGCCCTCCCCAGGCTCTTGAGGCACCCGGTGAGCAAAATGGAAAAACCGGGTTTCACCAATAGACGGTAGGACCGGAAGTGCCAAGGTGTTGGTCAGGCGCCTTGTGGCGCTGCAGACTCAACTGACTGACAGATAGGTCGCTACACAAACTTCGGGCACTACCACGGGTTCTTAAGCCGCCAATGCTTGAACAACCACCTTTGGGTTTTCCTTTACGGCCTAGCACCTGAAAATCATTGATGCCCTCCTGCTCATCCACCCGGATGCCTGAATGCGTTGACGCTGTTCAGAAATCACCACCAAAGCCCTCCGCCTCATCCCAATCCAGATCCCAGGCATCATGTTATACATCCCGTATGGCACTTGCAGCTGTTGGGAAACCAACTGCCTTCCAACATTTCACCCAAGCTGAGAAAAGAAAAACAGAAGAAACAAAATGAAGAAGAAAAAAAACGGAAAGTACCACGCGACCAAAAAAACACCCATTCATCCATCCCAAGTGCTGCACCCCAGGCCCATCTGACGCGACCCACCTGAAGGTCACAGAGTAGCAGCGGTCGCCGCAGGAGATCTCCAGGCTCGCCTCTCTTCTGCCCGTGTTCAGACCCCCGCTAAAAGTGGTTTACTCTTGGTGGGTTAAACGGAAACCCACCCCCTGAACACGAAAAAGACCCCCCCAAAAAAAAGAAGCTAGCAAAAAGCTAAGGGGATGGCTGGGAGCCGAGTTTTGAGGTGCCCTTTGGCCATCCGCCCCGGGCCACCGGCCAAACCCGCCTGGCCCTTCGCCTGTGCCGCACGGAGCAGCGCCTGGCAGGCGTCCCAGCCCCCAACTTTCATGGACCCCTGAGAGGGGCTATGCGGGGCTATGAGGGCGGGCCGGAAAATGCTGAGAGGCCCCTAAAAAACCCTACCCTTGACAGCTTGGCAGCTGAAGACTGCTGGAGACAAGGTGTTTTAGGTTTTTGTTGGGACCTCTCAGCACTTTGGGCCTTTCAAAGCTGAAAACAAGCTTTGAGCACCTAGAAGCACAAAATCCCAAATTACCCCCCTTCATAACGCCGTGGTAAGGGCTTAGCTTATCCTTGGCTTATCCCAGGCCTATTCAGGGATAACCCCCCCATTGCCCTTGTTGGGGGTGAGGAAGTCGGGCACCGATTTGCTTTGCACCCGCAGTCCGAGCGCGCTTGGGGGGCAATGTGCTTTGAAGAAAAGCGTGGCGCTTTCCAGTGGCTGATCTGGAGAGCACGGCAGATCAGCCGAATTGCAGGCCAAGGACCCCACAAGCCTTGGAACCAAATGAAACCATGACTTGTGCAAGACCAAACCTCCCTACTGCAAGGCCCGCAGACATCTTTTTCCCCGCAAGGAGCTACCTAGTCGGCCGCTCTTCGGCCAAATCGGAAAACCCCCGGCCGGTATCCTTCGGAGCGGGCGTGGGCATCCGTTGAGTCCCTGCCGAGCCCGGAGATGTGCGCGCACTGGGCGCCGTCTTCCAAATCATGTCCCGTCTTCGGAGCGACCCCAGATTTCCACAAGAAGCTTTGTTTGGTCAACCCCTTTCCTCAAACGTCAAACACCAAAGAACCATCAAAAACCAGAGGGCGGAAAAGACACGCCAGCCTCTTCGGCCAGGCAGGGGCCGAGTTTTACGAGTGAGACACGCGAGCTTCGGCTCAGGTCCTGCAAGACATGTATCACATCTAAAGGAACTCGCCTCAGCTACGTTTCAAGGAGGAATGTCGGAAACCTGGTTAGCAAAAAGACGGTGTTGTGCACTTCCTTCACACACGTTTGCTTGTGGGTACGGTTCCTGAATTTTGAGAGCTCAGGCGCACTTTAGGGGATTCTCAGCGGTTTGCTCACTCTTGGCTTTCCTTTCAAGCAACACCAAAATTCAAAAATGGCACCTTCGGAAAAACCATGCCCGTCTGGCGACCAACCCGTCAAACCAATGCCGGCCGAAGAACCAGCCAAACCTCAAGGCTCTGTGACGAAGGTAGGCTCATCCATCGAGGGGCCAGCTGTAAACGCCTCAGTCCAATGCCGGGTGCTCAACCCTGCGGGCGGCTGTGTCCCGGTTGCTTCCCCAAAACCGGACGGCGTACAGGTTTCTCCCACTGCCTTTGCTCAAAGTGTTGCCTGGCAAGCCCCGAAGCCAGCCGCGTGCCGACAGGCCACACTGAGCGTGTCCCCGCCCGTGACCGTCTCGATGGAATCGCCGTGCAAGTCGTCCAACCTTGTCAGCAAAAAGTCAACCAAAAACTCAAATTCCAACCCTTCCCCAAAGCAACACTCTCTCCAACCCCCTCCCACACACCAAAGGAAAAAGCAAGAAAAGGCTCGCCTCCATCTTTCCCGCCTTTGGCCGGGGCGCTCCTTGAACTCTTGCCGCCTGGGCAAGCGTATTGGGGGCGCGGAGAGGTCATAGTTGTCGCACTCCCTCTTGATGAGGAGCTGCGTCTCCCCTGCCATGGAATCAAAGGAGCCCATTCAAAAGGGAGCATATCCGCACCCATTTCTGGCTGGGACCATCCCCTACCAAACATCATCCAGCTAGGTTTTGCTTGTGGCTCATTTCCCAGCCTTTGGGTGGCCGAAAAACATCATCAAGACAGTGCTTCATCTCGGTGGGGTGATGCAGCACCTCTTGAGAGGGGACTTGAAGAATGCAGAACCGGGAATGCTAGTTAAGACCCACAAGTCCTTCACATGTGGTTTGCACGACCAACTGCCCCATGGTTCACAGGCAAATTGTGGTGGCTCGACTCCACCCTGGTCCGTCGTATTGAGATCGTTTCCCATGCGTGACCTGGGTGCCCGAAGCTCAACGCATGTTAGTGATACTTCCAAAACGAAAAACCTATCCAGGAGCCTCAGAATCAGGCGAACCTTCGCACAAGTCCCAAAAGCTGATGTTTGGGCATGAGTGCTACTTGAAAATGTCCCTTCACCGCTTCGGGCATCACTTGCATCGGCAAAATTCCGTCCAGCTACCTTTTCAAGGTGTTCCCCGATGAGCCATTCACCCCGTGGAAGGTGGCATGGGGAAGGCATAGGCCAAAGTTGCTCGGTTGCTTTCTGCGGCCTGCTTCAATGAAAAGCATTGGCACCGCAAGGTTGCAACGCGTAAGCAAAAAGCCGCACCAACGTGCCAGCCAAATGCCAAAGCTATAAGCCATTTCCTCCTTTAAGGCTGGCCAGTGAGCCAAGTGAGTTGGCATTCCTTAGTTAACCTTGTAGTCAAGACCTCTGCCCTCTTGCGAATTGCAAAGGGGCGTGACATGGAAACCGACCAGGTGAAGGGGCCTTTTTGGGAATCGGCACGAATGCCACCCCTTTCCTAACCCCAGGGAAGAATTCAGGAGAAAGGGAAGGAACCCTCCTTTCTCGTCAAGTGCTTCAGCGGTTTAAACGCCCGCCCCCGTGCAAACGCGTAACCTCAAACGTGTGAACGATGTCCAACCAGTGCAGAAAGCAATTCCATCGACTGATTTCCGGGAGCTCCCTGGTTTCGGAAGGTTTCTGAGGGGCTCCCAAGTTGGAAGTCACCAAGGGTACGCCTTCTGTATTGCAAAAAATGGGTGCAGGCTCGAAACCGCCTTCTTGATGGAAACCCTGGCAGATCTTCTGTGGTAGGTTCTGATGAAACTGGTGCTTTTGTATGCTCCCCTCGGTGCCATTGGACAGTTGGAGGCAATTTGTCGGCACCATGGCCTGAAGACCCCCAAAATAGGCCCAAAGCGTCCACCAATGGAAACCTGACATTTTGGAGGGCTTTTTATTTTTGAACCGACCCCCATTAGCCTAAGTTGCAATCTCGACCTCAGGTTGATAGACACCCGATTGGTTCTTGGGTGGCCCCTTCCCTCATGTACACAAGAATCCGACAGGACGGCTTAAAATAGTAAAGATCTGGTGAACACACTTCTGGGAAAATAAAGTCGAACACATAAGAAGGCCCCATGAGAAACACGACTCTCAATCTGGACAATCTGTTTGAGTTTCCCTGTGAATTCTGCAAGCAAATCCCCTCCAAGCTTGGTCGACTCTGCACCGAGCCGCCGTGGGTCTCCCGGCGTACCGTGGGCTGCAGGCATTCCGCCCGGTTTTGCACCAGCAGAACGTCGCAGAAAATGCCCCTGGGTGAAAAAGTTGAAGAATCCGGAAAGATCATACACTCGATCTCTCCGCCTCTCTCTCTCTCCCTCTCTGCGATTTCGTCCTGAGGGTCTGGCACTCGATATTTAGTTTTTGTCCCTTTTTACAGGGAGGCATTCATCTGCACAAGTTATGATGAACTTGCTTGCAGGCAAATGATCGTCCACGGACTCAGGATTCACTTCCGGCTTGCGAGTCTGTTGCCAAGATCGTTTGTGCCCTGGTCAAAGGGCCTTGGGATTGGCGGGGATAGCCCATCATCCGTGATGTGTGACAAATAGTGTTCACATTGATTATACCATGCATGGCGTGCGAAAGGTTCCAAAGATGAACACACACGTCAAATCAGTGTCTTTCAAGAAGGGGTCTGCAAAAACACCTGGCCAAACTCATGCTCAAAATGACCAGGATGCGTCTGGTAAGTGCTCAAGCCACCCTCGCCGTCTCTTTTGAGGGTGCCCTTTTCTCCCAGGTTGGAAGGAAAACCAAAAGGACAACCACCACAATTGGGCCCCCATGTCACCTGACACGTACTACAAGTCCCCAAACAAGGTTAGAGTACTCTGACTCTGCCAAATTTGGGTCTTGGGAGAAGACAGAACACAATTTTCGCCACTGATTCTCCCCTGCTCCTTTCCAATGCTTCCAGACTAGACCGCAGCCAAACACATCCAATGGAAAACTTGCTGGCGCTCAGGGAATGACCGAGACAGGGTGTTGGGACTGAACCGTTTCGGGATTCCTCAAAAGGAAACAATATCGGGAATGGTTTGTCTGAAATTCATTCCATTCCCTCATCCCCTGCCTTTCAATCCTAAACCGTTTCGGGATTCCCTGAGAGGCAACCACATCGGCGATGGCTTCTCTGTCCATTTCCGATTCGCCGCCTATCTGGAAAACCAGCCAGCAAAAACAACTAGACGACGAGTGGCCCGGAAGCATAGAGGCAAGTTGATGCAGGTGAGGTAACTCTCGCCAAGTTAGCATGAGGAGTTGGCAGGCGAAGCAATTCTCAAAAAGTTGGCATGAGAAGCTGGCAGGTTAAGTAACTCTCGAATAGTTGGCTGGCAAAGTTGGCGGGTGAAGTAATTCTCGCAAAGTTGACATGAGAAGTTGGCAGGCGAAGTAACTCAAGAGAAAAGTTGGCATGAGAAGTTGGCAGGTGAAATAACTCTCAAAGAGTTGGCATGAGAAGTGGGCAGGTGAAGTAACTCTCGAAAAGTTGGCGTGAGAAGCTGGCAGGTGAAGTAATTCTCGAAAAGTTGGCACGAGAAGATGGCGCGTGAAGTAACTCTCGAAAAGTTGGCGTGAGAAGCCGGCAGGTGAAGTAACTTTCGAAAAGTTAGCATGATAAGTTGGCAGGCGAAGTAATTCTCGAAAAGTTGGCGCGAGAAGTTGGCAGGCGAAGTAACTCTCGAAAAGTTGGCAGGCGATGTTGGCAGGTGAAGTACCTCTCGAAAAGTTGGCATGAGAAGCTGGCAGGTGAAGTAATTTTTCGAAAAGTTGCCACGAGAGGTGGGCAGATAAAGTATTTCTCGAAAAGTTGGCATGAGAAGTTGGCAGGTGAAGTAATTCTCGAAAAGTTGGCAGGTGAAGTTGCCACGAGAGGTTGGCAGGTAAAGTATTTCTCGAAAAGTTGGCATGAGAAG